ATGCAGGAGAATTCAAAATTAATAGTCTTTTAATAATAAATCCAACAGGAACACTCAGAAGATAACAGATTCAGATTTGTACATGATGTTGGTCTGCAGAGAGTGAGGGAGACTGACAGCTAATTGATTTCAGGGTTGCTGTGTGTTCTTGCTGCAATCCTTTGTTGTTTTATATTGTCGTTGACCTCCAAACATATAAAAGATTAATGTGGACTGCTTACTGTTTGTTAATGTACTTCAACGCGCCGCATCACCCAGCCAGAGAGCATCAGCACCCACTTCATAAATATTTACTACGCCTGGCCTCTTCTTCCTTTTGCTTTCCTCTTCTCTGCAATTCTTTGTTTATTGCTGTCACTGGCTCTTCTTGAGATCTCGCCACCATGAGGCCAAAATGCCACTGGCTGACAACATGGCAATCTGAAAGGATGTAATGTTGACAGAATGTAAAAGTGTGTTTATTTTTAGTAATTGGCAGGTATTTCTCGCAAGTAGGTCAGAGGTATACGGATCAGTTGCAAAGCATACACTCTTAATAACACCCAACATTTGTCAATGAGAAATAAATAAGCATAGACACACGAGTGCTCTCTCTCTCTCACAACCACTCACACACACACACACACACTATTTGCAAAAGTCCTTAAAAAAAAGTGAGCCGGTAAAACAGCTGTGGGTCACAGCTTGTCAGAGACATGTTGGCTGAACTCTAACCTGTCACATCTGCTTAAACAAGACTGACATCACCATGACAACAGCAACAACATACAATGTGCACTTTACAATGTAATACAATGTGTATTTTTTTCATTCATCCAATTAAAAAAATTTGGAGTAATGATTCACATCTATATTTTTTTACTTGAGCCGATGAAAAATAATTTATTTTGAATCATTACCCTACACTTCTTTTTTTAATTGGATGAATGAAACATTTTTTTCAGTGTGGCAATGTTCTCTTTGTCATCAAATCCATTAATAGGTGTTACTGAAACACTTTATTCAGTGTATGTTGAGAGATATTCAAACTTACAGATAACGCACAATATTGTTGCAAATTTTAATCTTAAAATGGCATATTTTCCACCAATAAACAATTACATTTATGCATTTTAATCAATACAGTTTATATTGTTCTGTACACTGTAAAAATGTTTGTGATTTTTACAGAAAAAGATTCTACCGTATATATTACATTATAAATTTAACATTGCATGTGTAATTTTACAGTAAAAAATTTATGGTTTTTGTAAGTAAATGTATGAATTTGCATTTTATATCTCTATAATACTCACATGAAAAATACTTTTATAGTTAAATATTGTTAAAATTATGTTTTGTTGGTTTTTCTGTTATAGAGACACTTATAATTAACAGTGAAAAACAGTCAAATGACTTTCCCTGCATGAGGGAATCTGTTTTTAATTTGATTTAAGTATTTTTGTTATTTTGTCTTACATTTTATATTATTTACCTCATGTTTTTTTTTTTGCATAATTTTAGTGTCATGTGTGTTCCCATTGTGTGGGACGCTATAATTCTTATCAATTTAAATGTAAAGTAAAAATATATAAATATAAACAAAATTTGTATTATATTAACAAGACAGTATGTATATTTTTATTGTACAAACCCCATTCCAAAAAAGTTGGGACAAATGTGTACAAATTGTGAGTAAAAAAGGAATGGAATAATTTACAAATCTCATAAACTTATATTGTATTCACAATAGAATATAGATAACATATCAAATGTTGAAAGTGAGACATTTTGAAATGTCATGCCAAATATTGGCTCATTTTGGATTTCATGAGAGCTACACATTCCAAAAAAGTTCGAAAATTCCATCAAATTATTTTGTGCATTATATTTACAGATTTTTTTTAGAGTGTAAAGGCAGTGTATTTTATATCATATTTGATTCATAGCATGTTTTTACTAAATACTATTAAGCCTATATTGCCAATAGCAATATCTTTGTTAGAATGACACTATGTACACTACATGTATTGTTCTAGACAAGTATCTAAAACTCAGTGTACAGCGGTGATCATGCTGGTGTTCTCAGCAGGAAAGTGCTCAAGGACACAATGACTGTCATTGTAAGTAAATCAGTTTGCGTTATCATGAATCGTGAATCATACTTTCATGATAGTGAAGCCAGCCTATAGAGGACAAGGGAGCGATTGGAGAGAAGCCAGGTTGTAAACCTGGGAGAAAAAAAACCTCTCTGCAGGGAGAATGTTTATACACTTTTTTTTTATTACGGTATGGGATGGTTTGTACTCTTAGCAGGTGAAATCAACTTTTCCTTTGTTTTCTACGATTGTGTTCAGCCTTGGGTTATCCTCTTATAACAAGCTTGCACTGGCCTCCATTTAAATGTGAATTGTTTGATTTAAAAAGGTGCGCCCTCAATAAAAATCAGTCTATCAACTTCATAACTTGATAACCGAATAGCAGGAGTCACATTTAAAATATCTCATACTGTCTGGCAGATTTCCATTTATAGAACCCAAAGTTACTGTCTGTCTGGTTCATGTCCTTCTGGCACCAGTGTGGCGTATTGCAGTAAATATACAATTATGAATCCACTGCTGCACTACAATGTGATTATCTACAAGTTGGAGGACGGAGTCATACACATAATACGGATAAAGAGAAAGATATTAGGAAAGAGAATAGAGGGAGAGAGAGGCAAAGATTTGGGGAAAAGAAAAAGGTTCCAGAGGATTCAGTTTGATACAGAGTCAGCAGACTGGGCTTTGAGGTTATTTGTTCTAATTTTGTGTCTCTGGAAAACAGTGATCTATGACATTATATTATACTGAATATCAACATTTTATTGTGCTCATTTTTAATGGGGGGTTTGTGGGCATTTTTTGGAATTATGGAGTCAAAATTCAATTCAAGTAAAAAGATCAAATTAGACCATTGGGGTAAGATGGAATTGGCAAAGAAGGCCTAGAATGGCATGCTTTTAAATTTAATAATAATTGTAATTAATGGGGTTATTATTCAGTAATTCCATGAATCAGACATCTTCAATTTTCTTTTCATCTTTTCATTCATAGTGTTGCTATTATGACATATCTTCATTTAACCCCTTGACTGTCACTCACATTTTTTAACATAGACCTGAAAGTGCACGATCCAAACTAAATTTTTTTATAATTCATGAATGAAAACATTTTGTAACATGATATTGATGTACCATTTTCATGGTAATGCAATGTTTGATTTTAAAATGGGTTTCAAAAGATGAATTTTGAGATTTAAAGTTTTCAACTGATATATCATTTCTGATGATTTCTAAAGTGCGATAGAGAAAAAGGCAACAAAGAAGACTTTTTTTGACAAAGGTCAGAACTCATGTTATGATGTAGATTTTTGAGGTGCACTCTTGTCAAAAATGAATCGATTACTTTTCCTACATAATTTTTAACAAAAACATTGGTAAAATATATATTTAGGAGTCTTAGACCTTTCCAACGATATATAGTTTGTCATGATTAGATTAGGATTCAATTGTAATATAGTGAAGTAAACTTAGAGGGGACGGGCGACAGTTAAAGTGTTCAAATATGGGCAATTAAATATATTAATAGGTCTGTAGTATAAAAGTCTTATATAGGTGGACCTCATAACAATATAAATATAAAATATAAATAATAAATGTTCCTCTCTTTTGATTTGTTTGTTATCTGTTATTCAATTATTCAAATAATTGTCAAAATACAATTTTAAATAGTTGATTTAGTATTTTTTAAAAACATATAAAAAGTGATTAATACATTTTGTATCAGTTTTGCCGGGTGGACTTCTTGCCCCAGGTACTGGTAAATACTTCTTAAGTGGAGCAACTTCCCTCGTCTTACCCATATATATTATTTTATTTATTATCTGTCTGTTAAGTACACACAGATAAAGAGTAGGTCTAATGCACCACAGCGGTGTTAGAAGACACAAAATGATGTGCAAGCAATCCGAGTGAAAGAGCAGTTATGTAGATCAGCGAGCCATCACAGATGAATGACAGCGCTTGCTAACAGATCACTAGTGGCTCGGTCAAGTGACTCTGAGGGTTTGGAAAAAGGATACAGTTCAAGTCTTGAGTGCTAAACAAGGAGCAGAAAACTTGTATCATATATTGTTATTTCCTTAGAATAAGGGATATACAATGTAAACTCATTTCTAAAGTGCATGTGGTGTGCATTTCATATTGGGAACATCGAGGAAAAAAAGAAGAAGCACAAAGGCAAAGCAGGAGCGTGGAGAGTTTCTTTTGCTCATTATTGGGCTATTGTTCGTCCTTATTCCTTTATTTTTCTTTCTTATTACTTTTTTTTATTTGCCTTTATTTCTCAACTTCTTTTTGTCTAATGTTATTCAGTTTTAATATTTCTTTTTCAATTAACGAGTACATTTTGTCTTTTGATAGTTTTCCAAAATGATGTACATTGTTTTGCACCACTCTTGTTGTTGCTTCCTCGTGTAACGAAGATGGTAATAAAAAGAAAAGCATTGTTGTAAAGTGACACTGACATGAATTATCAAGGTTGATGATTGAACACGTCACGAACTGATCCTTTGCACCACTCTTTTAGCATTATTGCAGATAATCTGTCCTCTTAAAACAACCCCACGTGTTTCCAGATACCCTTTATTCAAATATCTAACCCTTCTCGGCGAGTCACATGATACACGCGGTCTTCATTCTAACTGTAAAAACGATCAAGTCTTCCGCGAAAGAAATAGTCTCCTGAATGTGATTTCTGGCTTGCATGAGCAAACATGTTGGTGCACGTTCTGTCCTGTCCAGCCGTCGGTGGTGTGAAAAGGAGCGACTGTGTGCCACAAAGCGTGCGAATACGATTTGGCTCTGCGCACATCGTGCACGCACTCTGCAATGAATTACACACACACACACACACACACAGGAAATATATGCTTTATCGGATTAAATCATATTTACATAGCAGCGTTTATATACACAGGACTAACTCATTTAAAACTCTCACTGCATGAAATCCCTTTTTTTGTGAGATGCAGTGAGAAAAATCCCTTGTTTACTGCGTAAACTAGGAAAGAAATAAAGATTTTAGCGCAGATAGCATCAGTGGACGCCACCGTGCGTTCCCTCCAAAGGGGGAGGGGTCGTGTTTTCCTGACGGTCTACCAATCCATCTGTCCAAAGTGACTGTACTTACATGCCAGGAAACTGTGTGCTTCGAGACAGAAAGCAGTAGTTTGACAAAATATTTAACACGTGTACAGCCCTCGCTTACACGACCGTTGCATTTATTGTAACCAACACGCCAGCGTATTTCAAAATGTCTCTATAGTCCTATAACGCCTATATCCTGGTCTAAGTGTGGATAAACCCACTCTAAACTAAAATAACTACCATACCCCTGTTTAGTCTCTGCGCCTTCGACAGTTCAGTTGATTTTATCGCATAGATGTCACCCCAAAACACATTCGGTGGATCAACCTAACGGTTCCTGTAACCCCACCCAGTTTGTGATCGACCGCTGATTGGTCGTCAGTGTAGTTGTGAGTGTTTTCACTTTCCATTCCGCGCTTCTAATTGGTCACCGGTGACGACAATCCCACACCCAACTCCCACCCACCGAGATATCAAGTTTGTGAGACTCGCAATAGCTAGTTTAAGAGGCTATAGCTGAATGTGCAGCAAAGACTCCAAGTCTAACTGCGCTCTTTGGTTTAAATCACTCACTTAGAGTTCAGTAAGATGGATATGAAAAAGAGAATTCACCTGGAGTTGCGGAACCGGACGCCGTCAGACGTAAGCATGTTTATTAATTGCTGAGTGATATGATTTTAATAAAACTGTTGGTTAGAGTAGTTCTGCGTGGATGGACAACGCTAGATGTGCACGCTTCAAGTTGATGTCTTGAATGAAAAGTTTGCGGCGACTTTGGTACAAGCCTAGAGCCTTTGATATTGTTATCTCAGTGTGGCCCATAAGTTTAACAGTTTTACTGAGCATTTTTTCCCAACTTTTGCGAGACCTTTTGATGATGCTGTGGTCGGAAACTGCAAGAGCTCCATGCATTCAGTGTATAAACAAGGGAAGCGGCGTGAGAAGCCATATTTGTAACTTTGTAGCCCCTGAACGCGCCCTTTTCATTTGCATCCTCAGTGCTGCAAAAGTCGCCCGCCGTCAGTTCATGCCTCTCTCACACTTTCGCACATCCATTTTCAGTTCAACATTCATACTCGCCAGTCACAGTGGACATCGGCCAGTTCGCTAACTTGTTGTGGGACGCATTTTGTGAATTGCTGTGCAGACGATTTGACAGATAGCTTGCGATAACCCGATCGGTCAAATACATTTCGTGGCATCTCTCCAGCAAAAGGCTTTTATTGACGAATTTGAGTCTAAATCGAAAGCATTTACGTTTCTCAATCAAAGAAAGTTGTGTAAATACTTAAGCGGGATCTTTTCGAGGGCTTCTGGCACGTTACTAATAGGCGCGAGATGTGTGTGTGTGTGTGTGTGTGTGTGTATGTATATATATATATGTGTATATATATATATGTGTGTGCACATTTGTTGTTCGGTCGCGGTATAGAAAGGAATCGTGTCACAGCATATGTAGTTGCGTAAAGGTGCTCAAACCTATTTAAAACTGCATTATTTGTTGACGACATTGCCGGAATGCAAAGAGCAAATCGGCACTTTCTCTTTCATAAATATCCTCCGTGTTTTTCTTACTATTTATCGATTCCCGCAAATATAACTACCATGTCTGATCAATTCAGTGCAACGTTATCGAGGTCCCTGTTATTGCCCCTGTACGCATACCTACATACGCTGTAATAGAGCTCGTAATTAAAATGTCATAACCGTATTCTGAGCACCTCTGTGCGTCTCCACTGTTAGGATAAAGAGATCTCCAGCCGTGTGGCTCTGCTTGTTATTGACAGACTGGGCGCTTATGTGAGTGCTACGCAACCTGAAGCTGCGCTGCTCTAGTTGCAAGATCTAGGACAAGCCGCCATTTTAACCAGCAACAAAGACGCACGATATTTAATCGAGCAGAGAGTCGTTGCCGCCGTTTCAATGCTTTGAACCGAACAGAACCGTTGAATATAGAGAGTCGAGCGTGTACGAAGCCTGAAATGTCCTTTTTATTCCGTGAAAGTCGATACCTTTCGCTTAAAGAGCGACTCCGTTGCATTATCATGCGCCTCTCTGCCCCTCCTACTCGTGAATTCTTGGGTCCGTCCTCGTGTCTTTGCTCTTCCAAGACAATGTAATGCACTTGGTGTAACACCCGGGCTATCGTTTACGCGTCTTTACTTTGCTGTTCGAGCACGCACTATAGTAAAAATGCTCTACCTCCCAGGAAAACAATGCACGCCGCTTGTTGCGGAGTCAGCCATTTTGTTGGATAGGGAGTCAAATGTGAGATTTTGTAAAAGCACCGAAACATCCCCTATCTGGTGCTGTAGACCGCATGCTGAAGTAAACTTTACAACTGCATGGCGCCCGAATCGGTCGTGGCGACGTGTTTATTTGTGCTCTTTATTTTTCTCATTCTAATCTGATTAACATTCATATTTTGTTAAGAATGGACGCTGTTTTTCTGTTTATTCCAAGTAATTGCTGATAACAATAGGTAGTTTCCTTAGTTTTATTTCCAATTGTGAGCATATTTTATGCCATTTTGTTGGGTGAACATAAAGACAAACACAGTGCTCTTGGCATGCTGCAAAAGTTAGAAACAGCCCTGATGTGACTGAATTTAAGTGGCGTTGTCCACCTCCCCATTAGTTTGAAGTTGCTCAGGTGGAGACTGTAACAAATGCTGTATTCGTTAATCATAACATTTCATCTTATGTGCCCTTTAACAGGTGAAAGAGCTCGTGCTCGACAACTGTAGGTCAAATGAGGGCAAAATTGAGGGCCTCACTGACGAGTTTGAGGAACTGGAATTTTTAAGCACAATCAATGTAGGCTTAACATCAGTCGCCAATTTGCCTAAGCTAAACAAACTCAAAAAGGTAATAGATGCTTTGTCTACTACTACAGTAGTATCAGAAATATATTTTGGGATTGAATGAAGTCTTTGCCAGTCTTATTAATATGGCACTGAATCATGTTTTGCACAGCTCGAGCTTAGCGATAACAGAATCTCAGGGGGTCTAGAGGTACTGGCAGAGAAATGTCCCAACCTCACCCATCTCAACCTCAGCGGCAACAAAATTAAAGACCTCAGCACCATCGAACCCCTGGTAAGATGTGTTTATAGTATCATTGGAGTCGTAACTAGTGGAGTTTATCAACTTAGTGATGAATATATTTTAATAATTTATGTATACGCTCACTGATAACACTGTTGAGAGATTTTCAAGCACTACTATTATTAATATTCTTGAATAACACATCTAAATAATGATGTTGTTGCCTGACTTGGATTTTAGATGGCTTGAAATGATAAAAAAAAAAAA